TCGGAGAATGGGGCGGGGGTGGGGCAGCCGTGAGTGTTTGAAGGGATGTGCAGCGGACCCCAGAGCGGACGCACATCTTCCCCAGGGAGTTGTTCCCCGGAGTGGGGTGCTCAGGCTGATGGGGGCGGAGCTCTGAGCCAGGAGAACGGCGCTGCCCAGGACTCAGCGGGAAGGGAGGTGCTGGGTGGCGTCAAATCTGCCAAAAGAATGGGGCGGGGGTGGGGCAGCCGTGAGTGTTTGAAGGGATGTGCAGCGGACCCCAGAGCGGACGCACATCTTCCCCAGGGAGTTGTTCCCCGGAGTGGGGTGCTCAGGCTGATGGGGGCGGAGCTCTGAGCCAGGAGAACGGCGCTGCCCAGGACTCAGCGGGAAGGGAGGTGCTGGGTGGCGTCAAATCTGCCAAAAAACAACTTTGTGGTCGGAGTCAAGGGAGAGAAAGGGGGAAGGGATGGGTGAGGGGTAGATCCTGGCTGAGAGGGGCAGGGTGCAGGCCCTGCTTCTGCTCCTGAACGCCTTCCTGTTCACAGCGTGAATTCCGCCCGCACCTGCTGAGCACAGAGCTGGACCTGGCCGGCTGAGGAGCACCTGAGCGACCTGCCGCCCCCAACTGGACCCCAGGACGCATGGCTCTTCCCAGCTTTGGTGGCCCACAGAGTGGGTGTTGCTTGGGACCCTCCCGGTCCTGGGGAAGACAGAGCAGCCCGAGGGGTCCCAGCCGCCACTGAGCCTGGCAGGAGGCTCATGGAGACCTCCCTCCTTCGGCCTCCCTCCCAGAACAGCCTCGCCACGACCTCCTGCCCCTCCTGCCCTCTGGGTCCTCGGAAGAACAGCCCTGCGACCTCGGACACTGCAGACCCACGTGCAGCCCTGGCTCCCTAATCGGATCCAGGCTGGGGACAAGGCTTCAGTCTCCTCGGGAGAAGCGACAGGGCCTTTAGAGGGTGCCTTTCATCTCCCCTGTCCCCCTTGAGACATCAAGAGGATGCGGCCAGCAGGCGTAGGTGACAGGGGCACAGGAGATCTGCGGAAAGCCTCCCAGGACCTGCTGGCAGCCTCTCCAGCCCCAGCCTCACCCCCCTCCTTCCTCAAGTTTTGATCATCCTTCAGACCCTGGGGGGCCACGGCTGCGGTCCCGGTCCCCTGGGCTCCCAAAGGCGACTTCCTGTGGCTCTCCGGAAGCCCTGGCCCTGGGAGGCCCAAGGAGAGTCTGGCACCATGGGACCACGAGGCCCCACCTTCGGGACCGTGGCCTCTGACGCTGCTGCTGCTCCCCGGCACTGAGCTGGATCCGCGCACTCGGCCCGATGGGCTCCCTTCAGCTCTGCCAATGCCAGCCGCCCAGGATGAGTGAGGCCTGGGCTCGGCTTCCCTGGCCCGGGCCCC